CGGTCCTGAAGGATATTCTCGGAGGACCAGAGGGCTTTGAAGACCTCCAGAAGTTCCAGATAATTGATGTGTCTGGAGGTCTCATGTCCCTGCCAAACACCCTGAGTGCGGAGGTCGGAACAGTGTGCTCCCCATCCCGTAAGGGAAGCATCGGTGTACAGTGTCAGGGCCGGCTGGGGCTGTCGAAACTGTTGATAGAGAGGTCGTCCTCCACTGTCCACCATGACAGAGTTCGAAGAATGGAGGCAGGCGGTTGAAGCAGGCGATGAGGTCAGTCGTGCTGCAGGTGGAAGAGACGACTGAACCATAGCTGTAATGGTCTCATCCGTAATCTGGCTAGGGAACCACTGAGACCGTGGAGGCCATGTCCAAGCAGCTTCTGTATGGACAGCGCAGAAACAGTCCAATGCATGGGTATCCGATGGATGGAGGAACGCAGCTTGTCCTTTCAAGCCAGTGGGAGGAAGGCTTGGGCGTTAAGTGAGCTGAGATGAGCTCCAATGAAGGTGATGACCTGCGAAGGAATGAGGCAGGATTTTTCAACGTTATACATAGTCCAAGTTTGTCAAGGAGGGAACATGTGGTATTGATGGCAGATAAAAGGTGACGATCAGCCAGTCATCAAGGTAAGGGTAGACATGGATACCCTGTAGTTTCAGATGGGTGCAGACAGGAGCCATACACTTGGTGAAGACCCTCGGAGCAGTGGCGAGCCCGCAGGGAAGAACATTGTATTCAAATGTATCAGCACTGGCCATGAATTGGAGCAGATTCCTATGAGCAGGGTGGATGCTGATGTGAAAGTAAGCGTCTTTCAAGTTCAGGGGTGAGAATCAATCCTCTTTCCGCAGCAATGAAAGAATATTTTGGAGAGTGGTCATCCAATTTTTTTTTGATTTGATGAACGTATTGATGCCACGTAAGTCCAATATCAGACGCAGACCACCGTCCCATCTTGGGACCATGAAATATCTCGAGTAGAAACCGTAGAGCCCCTCAGAGCGAGTGAGTTGTCGAATCACTCCTTTACAAAGCAGCTGGGAAATTTTGTCTTGAAGGACCAGAGAAGGTGGCATATACCAAATCAGTCCCAGAGGGGGTACAGTGTCACACTCGATTTTGTATCCGTGCTCCATGATGGAAAGTACCCACTTATCAGATGTGATAGACTCCCAAACGGGAAGTTGACTTTGGAGCCAATCCCCAAAAGGAAGAGGCAAGGTTGGGTAGGAGGATTGAGGAATGGTTTGTGTGCCCTGTCAACGCTGGTGTTTGTTCACCTCGGGGCGGCGACAGGCCTGTTGTTTACAGGGTGCTGTCTGTTTGTGGCTTCACTGTTGGCGAGGCTGGAACTGCTGGCGGCTGGTATATTGAGCATATGGCTGGTATCGGTACTGTGATCAGGGCCAAGGCCACTTACATCGGTTCTTGGGGGGAATCTCCATGCGACAAGTGGTGACACGTGCTTTGTAGATGTTCTCCAACTTCTGGTCAGTCCTTGCATTGAAGAGTCTGGAACCATCAAACGGCATATTCTCAATGTGCCTCTTGGTCTCATCAAAAATTACAAGAACGTAGCCAAGGATGACGCCACAGGGCAATGACACCAAGAGCCCTCGAATCGCAATCTACATGATGTCTCACCATACTTAAATTATTGAATGGCCACCTGCATGGCTTTGCAGATAAACACATGAGCAAGGTCTCTCTGCTGCTCTAGGAGACTTGAGGTGATGGACTCCAGCCTCTGCATCAGGAAATACTGATATCTAGCCATCATCGCATCGTAATTGGATATGCGAAGCCCGAGTCCTGTGGTAGCACAGATACAGTAGGACATCATGTTGATTTCACACTCTTCCTTGTCCCTAGGAGTAGAGTGCTCCTTATGTTCCCGACCTTGGGAGGACTCGACAATCAAGTTCAGCTTGGGGTGTTTCAAAAGGGACAGGATGTTCTGTTCCTGAACCTTATACATCGGCTCGAACTGTTGAGAAGTCGGGTGTGGCTGGTTTGGAAACTGCCAGGTATCAGTCATGGCTTGCTGAAGAGTGGTAATAAGCAGCAAGGAGATGGCAGAAGACTGTTCCTTCCTGACAATGTCAGTGCTGAGATCGAAAGCAATGCCAGTAAAAGTTGTCAGTGCTGGGATCGAAGCGATGTTCTACCTTGATCTCCAGTGACCTGGCCAGTTGGGCCATCAGTTCTCTAAAGGTGGAGTAGGACTCTTCTGGAGAGCCGGGACCATGGGTGGTGATAACAGCATCTGGTAAGGTGAATGCCTGCTCCAAGTCCTCCAAATTGGAATCGGAATGATACGGGGGACTGGAGGATGAATCAGTCGGAGAAGGAAGAGGCCTGGAGAGAATAGCCGCCAATGTCAAGGGAGCGTCTCTTGGGACCGAATGAGGCGTGAAGTGATGCGGGCGCATGGAAGGCCTCAGATAGTATCTGTACGGTGGGTAGCAGTCCCATGGGTAGTACTGGGACCGTTTGAAGTCACCGTAGGACATTGGCACCCAATGCCTAGAAGGCTGACTTGGAGCGCGCTGTTGCTGGTGGGCATGCAACTGAGATGGAGCCCTTGGAGAAGCCTCAGGCGAAGTCGGCATCAGAGTTGGCGAACATGCCAACAGCAGTCCAGTCTGGGATCAAGGGAATGAGTCCCAGATCTCACCATCAGACATGGACTCTCTGACAAAAGCCTCTGAGCAGTCCGGGGTTGATGGGGCCAAGAGGATGATCCTCTGAGGAGACCCAGGCGGGGTCACCTGCATGACCGACTGGATATTCGGACCAGTTGGTGTTGAGATTGAGACAGCGGGTGTGGTTGAACCCAAGTCTCCTTGCGGCATCTTGGCAAGCTTTTTATGCTTGTGCACCGATTTGTCAGCCTTGTCCTTCTTGGCTTTTATAGGAGCCGAAGGTTCACTGGATCCGACATGCTTCCTCTTTTCCTTTTGTTTGTGGAGAATGAGAGGAGAATGAGAGGAGCGTTTGGCTTCCATCAGAATCGTACCATCAGCTGACGGATGAGGAGGAGGAGTGGTCACAGAGGGGCCCTCTGGCATGGTCTCAGCCGCAAGCTGATCAGAGGTGACCAAAGCCCGGTCCCACAAGATCTTCCGTAGGTGGTTCTCCCGATTCTTACAGGCCTGCCTCATGAAAGACTGGCAATGGCCACACTTATCAGTCCTGTGGCCTTCCCCCAAGCAAAGAAGGCACAGGCTGTGTGGATCAGTGGGGGACATTTTAGCCCCACACTTGGAGTACTTGCAAAAAGCTGTTCGCTGAGCCATCGAGGAAAGGAGAGGTTAACGAAGGAGAGAAAGATGTAATAAGAATGACAGAAGGGTTTTTTAAAAAACATTTTATGGGGAAAGGGAAGGGGAAAAGGGGGGGGAACTTTCTAGAAATGGGGTAGTTATAACTTGGAAAGGAGATCGTAACAAGAAGGAAAGCAGTGAATGAAAGGGTTTATAGAAAAAATGGTAAATATAGCTACGAGAGACAGCAAAAGGCTTGAGGCATAGTGAAACGGCAGCTGCATGAAAACTGGGGAAATGGCGGGCACTCCACCCCTTATACTATGGGGGGAAAGGGTGCGGCGTTCCCACCAAAACCATTAAAGCTTTAAATCTTTCTGGCTACAGGCACTGCGCAAGCGCAGCCCATAATATGTGATGCACAGAGACCATGATGAAGAATATTATGCTATAGTATTCCCTCATCTCCCTCTGAATATGCATGCCTTCAGTAGTCTCTTAGCCCCACAAAAATAGCAGGGCACAAATGCAGAGGTGCAGAAACTTTCTTATTAGCAGTCTTTAGGCCAGTGCCTTAAAGTCAAATGACTGCACATTTGGCATGTGCAGAAAATTGTAAAGGCTTCGCTGTTGGACCTGATAAAAGGTCCACTGGTTCCAGCTTCCTGTTTTGAGGAAGGAGCTGGCCTCTGGAAGACCTTGCAAAGGAGGAGTAAAGGCTGCTGTTCTTTGTCCCCAGCACTGGCTGTCATTCCTGAATGTTTATTTATTTTAAGCACTTTAACCCTGTTCTTCAGCTAAAACGTTCCAGGATGGCTTACCTAACATTAGTAGGTAATGTTGAGCAGCAGAATGATAATCAACATTATTTTCCCTCACTAGAAAAATAGCAGGTGTGTGTATATTTGTTGTGTCTGGGACTAGAGAGACAGCATGGAGTCAAGAGTTAACACCCTTTCTCAGGTTCATGGTCCCAGTCCAAATGGGGTGGGAGGGCAGACTGCTTTTTAAAAAATAGGTTTAAATATTGTCTTTTGTAAGTGAGGACCTTCTCAGTTGTGGCACCCCACTTACAAAATGCTGTCTCCAAAGGGTGCTTATGTTGCTACCTTTTTGGTCCCAAAGACCTTTCTTATCTTCCAGGGATTTTAGAGCACTAGCTCTAAATTTTTCAGATATTTTGATTGATTCCAGTGCTGTTGTTTTTTAATTGAATTTTTATGTATGCATGGCATCAGCCTTTTAACTCTTTGCAATCTGCAGAGAGAACACTGGTTATTGGGTGGATGTAAAATGTAATACATAAATGTCTGACTATGAGCTAGTGTCCACTCCTGCATACTGGTGCTATGAATTCTAGTTTATTTTATTTGTGAAGGAATACTTTCTTTTCTCAATCGGGGCCAGTGAAAAGCTCGTACTTATTAAATCTGCGTATTGTAGCTTGAAGAACAGTTTGATATCTCCATATAAATACTTTATTCTGAAAATGCAGTCAGTAGCAAGCTCAGCCTGCAGATACAGTTAAGTAACAGCAAAGCAGGATTAAAAATAAAAGCACCTATTTGTTTTGAAGCCTCTTCAATGCAGGCTTGGAACAAATTGTTCACTACTGTAAAAAAGCAAAAGAAAGAAGATGACACAAAAGCCTGGCAACAGAGACGTTGCTGTGCTCTAATAAACTATGCTGATAAAATGGCTTTAACAGCTTAACTCTCACTCAGGATCCCTTACCTTCTTTTTCCCTGTCATATTCCATTCTTTTAGAACTTGAAGTGCACTGCCTGGTGTAAAGGGACAGAAAGATAAGAAGACTTCAGCATGTGTTCATACATGATAAAGAGCAACACTGGCCCCAGAGAATCCCCTTTCCTTCTAGGTAGGTGGCCATCTGCTGAATTTATTTTTATTCATGTTCACCAGTTGTCCAAAGTAGGAGAAAATGTTATATTGCTTCGGCGGTTCTTGTGCCTGGTCTGAATCATAACTGCCCATCGTCTCTCCAGTTCCTTGCAGACTGATTCCAGCAAGCATATCATATAACCAGAATGTAAGCACAAAATCTAACAGCAGGGTGGAGTGACTGACCTAGTTCATGCCTCATCAACAAACCACGATTAACAGACCATGGGCTGTTGAAAACGTAGTGGCAGCGATCGTGCGTGTGCTGGCTTCTGCAGACCCATCCATTCCTACTGTGATAAACAACCCAGGGATGTTCTGTGACTGTCCCCGAGTTGCTCATCCTGACATTTCAAACTTGAAATTTGGATTGTTGGGGGAAAAACAAGGCTGGGTTTGAGCCCATTGTTACTGACAACTAAGGAACTGTGTTTGGATATTCTTTATGTTCTCTTTATTAACATCAACCACAAAAAAAAGGTTTTTTTAAAGATGGCAACTTTTCTACGGAATCATTTTTACAAAGTGTTCATTTTGGCCAGTTCTGTATTGACTTTTAGGATTCTAACCCAATTTTTTAAAAACTTGTTTTGCCAGGACCTTGGAAGTGGAGGTGGTGAATGTTGTTTCTTTGTCCTTGCAACCTCCATCTCATTAAAGTGTTTTGCATCTAGCAGAGTCTGAATTAATTAGCAGGAATATCCTAGACATGTCTGTTTTTATTTTATTTTTATTTATTTTCTATTCTTCCCAACAGCCAAAGGTCTCAACTCAGAACTAAATTCTCACTGAGTTGAATGGCACTTGCTCTTAGGTTGCAAATTCACCTAAGATGTCCAACTTTCCATCTCAAGATTGTGGCTTTCTTCAGGCTTTGACAACTTGCCCAGTTTTTGTTTCTCTCAATCTGTGTATCACCCTCACTGCTTGTTTAGCATCTGTGCAATTGGCAGGATAATTATGGAGAACTTGAAAGATCTGTCACTATTTTGTAAGATTTTGGTTAGTGCTGATACAAAATCCCACAGTGATTTTTGGAATTCCCCACAACTCCCTGCAAATGAATCAACACTGCTCTCTGTTGTCTTTTGTAAGCTTCTGGGTTGCATCTTTAGGAGGTAGGTGTATCTAAATTGACAGGCCGCTTCTCTGCTCAGAGGATCCCATAGCTAAATATAACCATTTTAAACAATTTAAACTAGACAACATAATCATCAGTGGTGCAATGGAGCCAGAGCTCCTGAGTGTGCAGCACCAACGGTTCTTTATTGGCAGGAATTGTGATGTCACATGATCACCCCCATCCTCCTCGGAATCCCCTGTTCCCTCTGAGTTTATTTCAGTTGAGATTCTCACAATAGCTGGAGGTAGGAGAATGGAACTCCCCCAGAACTGCTAGATATCAACACAGCTGAGCTCTTAAGATTCTCCCTAGGAGCATGGCCATGACGAAGAATATCATGATGAACACCTACATGTAAGAATTTATCACTGCAGCACAGATAACCAGTAGATAATAACAAGAGCCTGGCCTGGCGCAGCAACTAGAGGCCATTTAAATCAAAGACAAAAGCTTCCATGATACCAGCAGGAGCCATGCATCTGCACCTCGCCTGGGGTACCAGTGAGAGGCTTGGATCCTGGCTGAGCATCTGTCCTTCTGTTCATGGATGGGGTTGAGAGTCTGCTGGCAGAAAGGAGGAGGAAGACAATTCTTGCCAAATCCCTCTTTTCCTTGCAGCTCCCCTGTCACTGCTCCTGGGGCTTCCCCATCCTTCCGGAACAGTTTTTTGGGGGGGCACAAGAGACTGCATGGGGAAATCAGTGAAAGTTACCCCCCTCTTGCTGGCTGGGACATCTATAACCAAATTGTACCTAGCAGGCTTTTCACCAGGAAGAACAAATGTGGGATCCTGACCCTCCTTTAGATGGAATATGCTGCATCATGTTAATGTAACAATGAAATCGCAGAGGCTGGGTAAGTGCTGCAGCTGCCAAGTGTTCTGCATTTCTTCTTGCATTTTCCCATGGCAAGGAAAAACAACCCTCTTTGAAACCAAAGGTACATATTATACAGGATCTATACTGCAAACTGCTGGTTACAATCTTGATGCTACTGCGACATGTAATATGCTCGGCCCATTTGGACCACCCAAGCAATTTCTACTTCCCTCAGAATAGCCTGTGGCTTTTGAATTAGCTCTTAAAAGCAGGTTTAAGGAGTGTTCTGGGCTCCTGTGGTTTTAACAGGATTTCTTCCATCTGAGAGAAAAATCTGCAAAGGATTTGTTACCAATCAAAAGTACAGGGCTTTTCAATTAGAAAACAGCAAAATGGCTGATGCTGGACCTCCAGTAAAGATGCATGATTTACAGTCAACTTTAAAAGTCTAAACTGGTCTGAATGAGTTTCTAGTAATTCTGATTTTGAAAGATAAGGGGTACTTCCAGATGGAAGGCTCTTACTACTGCAAATCAAAATGAGCAGGTATTCTGTCTTTTAAGTTTTCTTTCTTTCTTTAAGATGACAGATGGATGACTCAGTGGGAAATCTTGGGAGGGCTACAGACTGAAGATGACATCAGAAAGAGGCAAGGTAACTGCAAAAAGTTTGTCTGGAAGCAGCCCAGGTATAGGTGCGACATTCACAATAAAGCTCAGAACCACTTCTGAGAGTTATTTTCTCTTGCTTCTCTAACAGGAGTCTTCTTCTGAACTGCACTTTAGCAATAATACTTGGCATTTTAACTTGCATTTTTGTCCAATATAGGAAAAATGGAGATTTGGGGCAGGGAAGTTTGGACAGCATTTAAAATAACCCAGCCTTATGCACAGGCCAATTCAGTCCACTTTTAAGACTGTTAATTAATGAGTCACCAGTTTAGCTAGATACAGAAATCCTATTAAAAGGTGAAAATGAATACTTAACATGGTAGCACCAAAGAGATCAGGGCAGGTGAATAATCCTTTACATGAATCAGACATACTTCTTGTCAGGATTTGAAACCAAGTTTTAAAGCTGGTAGCAAACCCTGGATAAGAAGAAAGCTGGTTAGGAATAACTGTGATTAATGTTGGTGCAAATGCAGCACATAGATATAGTTGGTGAGATCTACTCCAGAGGGGAAATGGGGGGAGTACCCTTAGGGAAGAGGATTTAAACTTGTGCCCTGCTGAAAAAAATCTCTAACAGTATAATCCTATACATACCTACTCAAAGGTAGTCCAGTGAAGTTCAGTGCTGAGGCTTATTACTGGGTAAGTGTGTACAGGACTGCAGCCTTAGCATGGTTAAGAAATGGGGAATGCTTTCTGCATCATCCCCTGAAGGTCTATTCACAATGTTTATGTATGCGAAAGGCACGATGCCAAAGATTATCAAACTGAAGGATGCTACATAGCTAGCACGTGCACTGCTTGTACACTGGGATTTGTGAAGTGTGAGCAAGACACACGGCATGCTGCAGCACATGGTCTAATTGGGCTTTACGGCTTGGATCAAAAGATACTGCATGCAGAAATGCACTTGGTTTCATGCCTGCATCCAATTCCCCTTCCACTATAGTCCCTGTGGCCCATCACATGCCATCCCTCCAGAGAGTCCCTCAGCTTCCGGGGGTGTCTTTGGGGAAGAAAGCCCAATTGCATAAGCAAAGGTCCTCCTGCACTTCCCTGAATCCAGCCTTACATATTTCCTTGAAAGTTTATTGTGCTGTGTAAATTGTGGAGCTGCCCTAATAAAAGAGAAAGGACAACAAATAGGAGCAGGGCACGAGGGGGACAAGCAGAACAGCAGAGGAGAGCCACAAAACAAGTCCCACAGTGCCTGAGTCTGTTCGACCTGAGTCACCCTCGCTTTCTGAACCCAGGATGGTGTTCTCCAGGCGGCTTAAGTCTGGCTTATAAGCCATGCTCTCAAACAATGGCTTGTCGTGTTTGTTTAATCCTCTGTGGCTGTCCACCCCCAGAGGGCATGGCCCTTGGATGAAGTGGGCAATCTCCACAACAAGCAAGCTGCTTGCAAGAGTGGTACAATCCCTGTGTCCCTCTGGCCACACAGGTCATGGCAAGAGCTGACCACAGCCGCCCACAAAGTACCCAGTGGAACTTATAGGTAATCCTCATAAGCTTCCTCACCAATACTTGGCACCCTCAAGCTCCAGAGAAGGGCCAGCAGAACGTGCCTCCAGCATGCAGCTCAACTCATGGCAAGATTCACGTGCCAGGCAGTAGGCATGTTCTCCTGGGTCTCCTAGGGAGTAGGCCCAGGAGAACATGACACCTCACCTGGTACAGGGGTGAGCCAGATGGTACTTGCCTTCCTTTCCCCTCCACTCCAGTGTCCCTGCCCCATGCTCCTGCTGAGGCCATGAGAGAGCAAATGCCCACTCTCCCAGCAATGGCAGGAACTGGGGGGAGCAAAGAGAAGCCAGTGACAGCTACCAGAAGTGCTGCTTGGGCACTGCTCAGCCATTCTGTCTCTGCTTGGTTTCTCTCAGTGTTCTTGTGCCTGATTTGTTGGGATACCAGCAGAAAGACTGAGTGTGGATGAAGGGAAGAAGAGGCTTCAAGACCTCTGCTGTGCCCAATCACTGGTTAGGCAGGGCAGGGGCCACAACCTCCTTTACACCCAGAGTAGCTACACAGTATTTTGTAATATTTGCTCAGTGTTTTATAGTATTTGTAGTATGTTCCCAATTTTTCCCACTATCACTTCAGATGCTAGCCCCAGTAATGTGAAAAATTATTGATAGTGTCTCTATAGAACTGGCTGTCTAGGTTTACATATGCTGTGTAACTGACCTTTTAGAATGAAGAAACCTTAGATTGCTAACCAGGAAATTGTCATATCTTTAGGAAATGCTAAATATTCATAATTTAGAAGGATAACTCCCATGGCCCATCTCACTTACAGAAACAATGAGACCCTAAAAATGTGTACTATTACTTTGTCTATTGTCAGCAAAATATGAAAAAGGTACAGACCATCCATAAAAGCTTGTACAGCCTTGTCTACATTGTTATCAAACTGCTGTAGCACCAGCACTATTTCATTGTTGCTTTTGTTGGGAACAATTGACCGCACTGCACTGATCTGCAAGAAGAAAGATGAACATCTTAGAGGACAGAAACAGCCAATGCAAAATAAGTAGTTTTTAAAAAATAGAAATGGCCTGTAAATTTGTAATAGCTTGCTTGCACAAAATAGTCGTGAGTGCCCTACCTAGGCTTATGCGTACAGTCATATCCAAATAGGAAATGAAAATTAGCTCCATTTCTTAAGCTTGTCATGCATTTCTGGAGCATCCCTCCTCCTCTTCTTCCTCCTCCTCATCATCATCATTGCCATGCCCTCTTTTCTACACAGGACCCCCCCCCCCCCACACACACACCTTTGTTGCTGACATTTCCATTCAACTGCATCCTGTAAGCTGCTTGTTAACCAGCTTCCAGATGATGACACACAAGAACAGCTGCTAATGCATTACACACGTTGTGCCAGCCTGGCAATGATTCTAATACTTCAAGTTTGATGGAGCAGCATTGTAAGGCTGAAAAAATTTCAGCAATTTTTTTCTGCTCTTATTCAGCTCCCTAGCCTGCTGGATATCACAGCTCTCCTAACATTTTCCAGGAAGGGCCATGTGACAGGATTAAGCAAAATTCGATGCTAGACAGCATCAAATATTTAGAGCCAAGGTGCAAAACATCAGGTCCAGTGGCCTTATCTAGCCAGCCAGGGGTCCTAGTCCAGACTTCCAGGATTCCCCCAGGGGCCATGACCCCTTCTGGGACCCCCCCTTTTCCACCAATCATCAATTGTTGGGTGTTTTCCCAGCTTTGTGCAGTCCCTCCCCCCATCATTCTAAAAGACTGAAAGCCCTTTCCTAAGGCTTAGTTACTGGCAGCTTACGCTAAAATATGCTGGTAATTAGGGCTTTACCCCTTTTGCCTTTGGCCCTGCACACCAGTGCAATAAGGAGCCCCAGGAGTTTCCCTGAAATGCAATTAAACCCTCAGGCTGCACCCCAGCTTTAGAGGTAGCTTCCTCGAGATACACCCAATTCAGAGGTCTCTGGTGAGGGATGCAGCAGACGGGCAAAGAACAAAGGGGTACCTGAGTGAAGATAAAGCAGGGATGGACAACTTGTGGCCCCTCAGGTGTTTTGGTGTACACTGACTATGCTGACTGGGGCTAATGAAAATTCTAGGCCAAAGCATCTGGAGATCCCCAAGCTGCACATCCCTGGTAAAAAGGAAGGAATTTCATGGCAAAGGTCAGCCATTTTAATTAATTTATTTATTGCTTTATTTATGTATAGCTTTTATATCCCACCCTTCACAGTGTCTAAGGGCAATTTAAAAGGAATAAATCTTTCAATTGTTCAAACCATTTAGAATTCAGGCCACTCCAGGTTTTTAATAAAATAAATAAAGATACAGCATCCAGATAATAATATATAAAATCAATCTTAAAACTACTACTAACATTTAAAATAATGGGAAAATAAAAAGGGGTTGGCTTGGCATCGAAATGAAAAAAGCGTTGGCACCAGGCGCACCTCTCTGAGGAGCCCATTCCACAGCCAGGACGACACCACACGCTGGTGCTGCCTGCAGCTTCCTCAGCAGTGTTTTAGACCTGTCACTCCAGAAAAATAAAACTTTTCATTGTCTGCCTTTTATTATTCATATTTTTCATCAAGAAAAAAATGTGGGTTTCTCCTGCAAGATATGAGCATTTCTTTCAAATTAAAGATATTTAGAAAGCAATTAAACACACCTCTTCATCTATCCCCAAAAAAAGGGGAAAAAACCTCTTTATTATGGAATAAGTACTTGAAATTGAAAGCTTGTTTTCCAAAATAAATGCCAATTTACTTTAAAAGGAATAACTCTTTCAGTTCTTCAAACCATTTAGAGTTCAGGCCACTCCAGGTTTTTAATTCATTCTGCACTGGAAAGCTATGCCACTAAACCATACATCATGTATCTGGAAGCCACTGACTCTGAATGAAACCTGTGCAGTGTGGCCTGGGAACTCAAAATTGTTCAAATGGATTATTTCAAATATAATTTATATTGCAAGCCACATACCTGGCAATAAGCCACACTGACATCAGCCTGTACTTCTGTGCAGGCATGTATGGGTTTGTGCTGTGGCACTACTGCAGTTCCTTCTTTACTTGTGGATAAAAGGCAACTATAATTCTTTTTGTCAAGGAAACCTTGTGCAAATGTCAGAAATCAGGTCAATTCTGACTTTTACTTGTCATTTGCAATATTACAGAGAAATGTCAGAAAATCCTAACCTTTAGCAGTAAAACCTAAGGCCTCCAAATGTTCCTAGACCAATAATCACATTCCAAGTCCATTAGTCCACATTCACCTCAAAAAGCACCATTTGCCATGGTTTAGGAGCAAAGTCACCATTGAGAGGGCTATGCCAGGGAACTTCTGGAACTGTGGTGGAATTCATTGCTTTCCAGCTATCTTTCTGCTCATACGAGAATTTCTTAGCGGTATTAAAATAATTCATAGTTCTCTTGATAGACATGATATGTCTAATATGTTAACAGCTTCCTGAATTACATTCTATCGACTTTGGCAGTGCTCAATTCTAATAAAAATCCCATTGTAGACTCAAGCTTATTACTCTTTGCCCTACATTTTATGGTTACAGAATTTTAGTTCTTTCCTCACAGACTTCAATATAGAAGGCAGGACTTCAGGGAAACTGAATGTTCAGATGCAAAAAAAAGGACAGGGCTCCTACAGACTTGAGATATCATATACCTGCCGTACATATGGTATGGTATAGAAGCCTTCCCCAGTATAGCACCCTCCAGATGTACTGGTTCCAGCACATCTGGAGGGTGCTAGATTGAAGAATGCTGCACTACTAAATGTTAATTAGAGATCATACCTTCTCTTTGATGTTTGTTTGTGAAGTGATTTCTGCCATCTCCAATTTGAATTGAGCAACAGCTGCAAATTGCAAGAAAGAAAGAAAAATTACTATGGTAGTTTTAATGCTTTCCTGCTATGGCTCCAATCCTGCATTGCTTGATGTAAGTACACTTTAAAAACTGCTTTACAGTGATAAAGAAATGAATTACATTTTATACACTATTTCTTTACAGTTTTCATTACATACTATTACTATTTCATTACGTTATGTTTTTGCAGTACCAACACAAATTATATTATGAAATCCACAAGAACACACCTAAACTACATAGTACGTTACATATGTAGCATGCAGTTGACACTCATTTCCCTTTTTAATTCCAGGTAAGGATGTGGCCCAAGATCCAAACTGGGATCTCTGTGTACAGGAAAAGTAGGTTTAAGCCTTCCCATCCAACTATTCTCTCCCATAATTATTTCTGCCCACTTGCACCCAGGTGCTAAAAAATTGGGGGGGGGGGATCTCAGGTAGCGATCAAAGCAGAAGGTTGCCACTATCTGATAGATCAATGTATGTATAGGGGAAATGACTGGATAAGGTGGTTTAAATCTTGGTCACCCTTCTGTGCTGGTCCTAGACCAGATCAGAGTTCTGTACACTTACCTGGAGGTACAATTATTATACTGCAGAGAAAAAAGAAAGTGAAGATCAGCTGTTTGCTGCACTTTGAATAAAGAATGCTGTTTAGCCCTTATGGAATGCACTCCCCAGAAAGGTCTGCCTGGTGCGAACCTTATACTCCTTCTGGCGCCAGGTTAAGTAGCCAACACTTTAATAATAAGGATTTTAGATGTTTTAAAGATCTGTCCACAGTCACACTTTCTTTTCTCTTTTCCTTTTCTTCATTTTATGAAATGTTTGGTTTATGTTTTTTACTGTTTTAATCATATTATTGTATTTAATATTATTATGTATGGCTGTGAAAGTTGGATCATAAGGAACGCTGAGCGCTGAAGAATTGAGGCCTTTGAATTGTGGTGCTGGAGGAGACTCCTGCGAGTCCCTTGGACTGCAAGGTGATCAAACCAGTCAGTCCTAGAGGAGATCAACCTTGACTGCTCTTTAGAAGGCCAGATGCTGAAGATTAAACTCAAATACTTTGGCCACCTAATGAGAAGGAAGGACTCCCTGGAGAAGAGCCTAATGCTGGGAACAATTGACGGCAAAAGAAGAAGGGGACGGCAGAGAATGAGGTGGCTAGATGGAGTCACTGAAGCAGTTGGTGTGAGCTTAAGTGGACTCCAGGGGATGATGGAGGACAGGAAGACCTGGAGGAATGTTGTCCATGGGGTCACGATGGGTCGGACATGACTTTGCAACTAACAACAACAACAATGTATGATTCTAAGTCATCCTGAGTCTTCTAGAAAGGACAGGGTAAAATGTTTTAAATAAATAAAAGTAAAGTTTAGATTGCAAATTAAAGGTTCAACCATCAATAGAACACCCAATAGAACTTATTTCCAAATAGACATGCACAAATTGTACTCAAAATCTGTATCCAATGTGCTATTACAAGCCAGCTTGGTTGCTTGCTTTTACAGCCTTTGATATTCCCATCCCTTGATAAGCAACCTAATCTTCAAACATTAAGAGTAATCATTCTTGGAAAAGATCCACCTGTTGATTGAGCTGCTGTGAATGAGCTGCTGTGAAAGCTAGAATTGAGCCAGGTCATTTTTTTCCCTGGTCAGTTGGCAACCCCTAGCAAGAAAATTTGTTTCAAGATTCTGTTCCCCCAACCTGAAGAGCATGTGTGTGTGTCGGGGGGGGGGGGGGTCAACAGCATAGCCATTACCAATTCACCAGCAAGTGCTTCTTTTGGGAGAAGCATTCCCTTCCCCCACCACTCAACCCATTAAATATATTCCTTAGGGAATTGAGATGATTCTTGCAGTGGTTTTCTGGGGAGGAGGAAAACAAAAGAGGCTTCTGTCTTGCCCTACACTTCCTGTGGGCAACAAAACCTAGTAAGGTATCAGGCGGGAGACAGCAGCTTTCCATGCAGTCAGAGAATGAAAGGGAAAAAAGATTTTCCATATTTCAACCTGGCAATTTCACCTGCCATTTTCTTTTTGAAATATATTACCAAATTAGAAGTTTAAGACTCCAGAAAACATGACTGCCATTAAAAGCATGGGTAGCTCATAGTCTAGTGTATTTGTTAGCATTGAGAGTAGTAATACTGAAAGAAAATATATAGTTCTTTTTTATTAATACAACATTAATCATATACTTCTAACTTGATTTCTTTTGCAAAAGTAAAGGAGGCAAAGTTCAGCAGTCCCTTAACTGTGATATACTTTCTTATAAGAGGTTCAGCAGAATTTGCCTCTATTTTTAAATAGCTAATAAGCAACAAGAAAAAAGAGCCCTTTAGCTAAAGATTCTCTTCTCCTGAGAGTAAGCCAGGAGAGGAAGGTAGACCATTCCAGTTTGCTCAAGCTCTGAATACTAAGTACACTGAACACAGGGTAGGTATAGAAAGCCGGCAAGGGAAAGCTTTTCAAGCCTTATTGTCAAGCTTCGGAGTATTGCCTCTTTCTTTCTTTTGCAGAATCTCATTCACTTTCTCAATTCTGAAATGTCACTGCATGCTCAGTCTTGTAGGACGGAAAAAAAAATAAAGGAAAAGAAATAAAGCACCTCTTATTTAAACAGGGTCTCACCTTCCAATATTGGTTTCTAAGCACATCTTTCCTGGTACAGGAAAATGTTTTCTATTTATTCCTTATATAGAAGGGCTGTACCCTTTCAAATGTTCTCATTCAAAGCTCATCCCTTGCCTGATGAAAGGAAGCAGGGTTTAGTAGAATAGCCATACATTGGGAAAGGCTATAGAGAGCCTTCCCATTTGATCCAGTATTTCTGCCATATAAAAAGTGCCATGACCTTCTCCTTTCTCATGCAACAAGCACAATGAAACATTCAAAAAGCAGCATACTTTCTAACAGGATGGGTTGAAAACAAAACAAAGCAAAGAACCAACACTGGTACACAGCTGTGATGGGAATGATCAAGCCAAAGGAGTATACAATGGCAAGAAAATGTATATATTTTGCTTTTCTCATGGGTTGGGGAACTCCTTGAGTTGAGGAATTTTGAGAAGCAGCAGGAACATACATGGCACAAATCTGCTATCCATTCCCTCCACCCATGTTTCACCCTTTAAGATAGGAGTGGACTATCTTTGGCTCTCCAGGTGTTTTAGCCGATAACCCTCAACAGTCCTAACCAGCACAGGCAAAGATGTGCAGGCCAGCACATCTGGAGAGCCACAAGCTACCATCCCTTTATATTTTTTTATTTCCAATATAATAGAAAAAGAAGGGGGAAGAGCCAAAAAAGGAACATGGTATAAAACCCTATCTAACTGCAGTAATAATCCATAACAATATTATTTAAAAGAAAAAGAAAATTATTTGATTTTCTTTGTATTTCCAATATATGTAGCATGAATGATCCTATGGATCCCAGTTGTCGTCGAAGCACTGTGACCTTGGAAATCAGAATTGGACCTCTAAGTCCTACCTTCCTCTCTGAGCCAGCATAAGAAGTGAGTTGGCTGCTCTCCAGAGTTGGAGAAGCAACCTCAGAGAGGGTGAAAATGGAGTGTTTGGAGGCAGGGAAGGGAGGAGGTTGCAGCAGCTGAGATTAAAGAAATACGGAGGCTGCTTCAGCTTCTTTCCCCCCTGCTCTGAGATGTTCCCGCTTCACAGGCAAAAAAGTACATCCAGTGAAAATACTGAGCAGGATGAGGAAGAGACAAAGTTCACCTCTGCCACTCCCACCACTCTACACTGGATGTCCATAAACCTCCGAACTGAATAGCTTAGAGAAATCCCAGCAGGATCTTGCCCAAAGGGTGCTTTCCTTTACATGCTTCCCTCAGCAATTATAGGCGGCCTATAAATACATGTAAATGTAAATAAGTGTAGGTTATACACTCAATGGTAGTAGCAACAGTAAGCTTGTCAGACCACTGAATGATAGCTGGTGGGTAGTTAACCTTTCAGATGTGACGTACAAGTCACTCTGCAACTTGGCCTCCAGAAGTCCACTTTTGCTGTCTACCAGGTAATCCCACATCACAGGAATGTAAAGCTTATCAACCTTTGCATTCATCACAGAGTTTTCAAGAATTAAGTGAGTGTGGGCAGTGTCTTCCAACCAGGAAGAAGCCACTTCTGTGCATGCCCGTCATAGGCCTCGGTGGGATATTGTCCGCACTCCTTGGCAGCACGAAGCAAAGCTACCCAGCATCTTTTTACAAGCCTCTGTGCTATCCATTATACACGAATTCTCAATCTAGAGGAATAGTACACATGGAAGGTTAGGCAACTTTTCATTGATTAGGCAGTGCAGTGCATTCTAATTTCCTCCTCCATCCTTCTCTACCATGCTCAACATCCCTTTATTACACTCCCAAAGACATTTATTAACAAGTATTTATTTATAGATGATATTTCAATGCTGCCCAATAAGCAATAAGTTCATAACCATTTAAAACCATGAAAGGCACTGTAAAACTGTAAATGTTTAAAGCCACAGTATAAAATAGAAGTAGGCTTAGCTACAGTCTTGCTTTAAGAATGGTGCCAGAATGAGAGAAAGGGCCGTGTGAGAGCACACCAGCTGCAGGCTGCATGAATGAATGCTGCTTGCTATTTTTGCCTTTCTCACTTTTGAAGCCATGATCCATCCTATCAATTGCTATCATGTGCTCATGACTGATGCTGTCCATTTTGGAATGATTGTACAATGTTAGACGGCTGGTATTACTGAAATGAATTATGAGGCTTGTTATGTTTTCCAGTGAAATAAGAGCATCACCTGTAATGATGCATTCATATGCTGTCAACTCCTTTGGGCACATAAATGTAAACAAGTAACATATAAGAGAGTTTTGACTATTGGGTGGTACACAAAGGTAATAACATTAAAATAATGAATTTATTATTGTGGTTATGGTTATTAATCTTCATCATCTGCCCAAACCCTAACAAATATTTTCTAT